ACCTGGGCGATGCCGGGACTTATATCAGCTCCGCCGAAGCCTTCGTGAGACACAACGCCCATGATTGCATCTACCTTGATCATGAGAAGGACTTCCGGGTGCTTCAACTCTTCGCCCCTTCCTTTATGCGTGGCAAACGCTTGCTGGTTTCTTCGGCTTTCCCACAAAGGAACCGTGGAATTGGACTTGATCAACGGAGAGGGCCAAATCATTAACACGGGTGCGGTTGTGATCCACAGGGGGCACATGCGGGCAATCCTGAGTAGTGCTTCGGTTCTTGAGCAATTGGTGCGTACCGCCCAAGATGGGGCTCGCGTCGCCCGGGAGCTTGAGGCGACTGGTTGGGGAGCCTTCCTGGAGGCACAGGATGCTGAGGGGGAGATTATCCCGTCCAAGCCTCATCCTTGTTACCGTTGTCGTCGCCCGCAGACCCCGTGCAAGGCGGGGAGCGAGGAGGATGATCTCGGTGATCCAGCTCGTCCTCCACCAGACAGCCTGCCAATGCCAATCAAAGGGTGCACCAAGCCCACCTTGGTCACTGTGGCCGATGGCGTCGTCGAGCTGCCGGGTGTGCAGCACAAGTTGGTTATGCCTACTTTTAGCACTGATGCGCCTTCGCTGCAGACGTGGTTGGATTCCCATTCGACGGTGTTGTCTCAGGGGTATACCTGATTTGGCTCGTCGAGGCGAAGCCTCTGGACTGGCGGGCTCTCCTACAGCAGGTTGGGATGCTGCTGTAGCGGTCCCCGCATTGTTGCGACGTGGTGTTTCCGCCCCAGCCGATCGGTTCTTTGCGTAACTTGATTGGGTGTAACATGCGGCTCTTCGTGCAGCGCCTGGCTTCCTCTTCGGTCTGGTGGGGTATCCCCAGCAGCTACTGGCAGGATTTCCACCAGTTGGCCACCACACGGGCCCCGCTCACCGCTTCTGCACTGGATCTGGCGGCCCGCTGGTTGAATCAGCTGGCAGGAGGTTCTGTCGACCTCTCATCTGTGGGGGCCTGTTCCCTCCCACCCTCCCTGGGGGGGGGCGGGACGGTCCCAAAACTCGCTGGCGAAGCAAGTGAAGGAGTTGTTGAGAGGGTGGGAGGTTCATCTTATGATAAAGCTGCTGAATACCTTGAGCACTGCCAGTCTCCCTTCTCAGTCGGCAAAGCGAAGGAAGCCGGTAGACTGGGAGCGGAGTTGGTTCTAGCCGCTGGCACTGTTAAGGAAGCGGTGGAGGCCTTGAACTCTGTCCGGGCTGCAAAGCTTATTGGGGACCACCTCGTAGGCGCGAAATGCGGCTTGCTTAAAGGTGTGTCCGCCCTGTGGACCCCACCGAAGGAGAAGTCGAGCAACTGTTTCGGGCTGCTGGTGTTGCCGAGAGCCCTTTGGGCCGGGTGCCCAAACAAAACCCGGACCGAACTATCTCTTCGGAGGGTAGGCCTATCAACGACATGAGGAAACAGAATGAGGCCGGCTCTAAGTTCAACCATCCTCCTGCTCCTCAACCCAGACATCACGCCGTGGCGAGGCAATCACTGTGGTGGAGGGCAAGACACCCCGGTATTCCCCAGAGATGCGCCAAGCGAGATGTACCCCGCGCGTTCAAGTGGCATTTCCTTCGCCCCCAAGATGTTCCGGAGTTCGCTGTCCGATTAGCTGGGTTAATCATACTCATGCCTTTTGGTTGGGTAGGTTCCCCCGGGGAGTTCGTTGCCTGGAGCGCCGCCGCCAAAGCGCATCATGGGTCGTTCCGCCCTGAGGACCCCCGCTTCAACGACGTGGTGCCGTACGAGTCCAAATGGTTGATGGATGACGGGGTGGTGGTTGAGCCACTGGTGGGAACCCGAGTCTTCGACTCTTTGGCGGTGCTCGACGAGACCATGAAACTCGTTTGGGGCCCCGAAGGGGTGAATGTGGAGAAGATGGTGGAGGAAGGAGAGCCCTCATCGACCCAGTGGGAGGATTTTCTCCAGGACGCCAAGCGTTCCGCTCTGGTCTTACCCCTGGGTTTTGATCCTAGCGCGCAAAAAGCTCGTCAACTCACCCACTGTCCCGACTCCCCGCAACCGTTGCTGAAGCATGTGTGCCTCCGTGAAGCATGGGAGGTCTGGCATGTTGAAGATTTCCAGGAGCTCACCAGTTGCGCCATCGCCCTCCGGTTGTTTCGAGCCTGGGAAAAGGGGAGCCACAGCAACGCTTGGTTCACCTTCTCTCAGGACCCCCAGGGCAAAGAGAAGGCCAGCTTTTGGGCCCGCCTAAAGGAAGGCCGGAACCGCCTTGGCAAGTTGGTGGTCGATTGCCCGAGGCAGTTGGAAACCTCTCAGCTGGCGTTGAGCATACAGGAGATCCTCCCGAACCTTAGGTTGGTCTCGTATGTTAGCTCTCATCTGGGCGCCTTCAGCGCTCGGCGGAGAACGCTTCTGCTAGGTTGGGCAGATCAGGTGTCACCGCCCCCAGAAGGAATAGAGCAACATCGAGTTCACCCTCCTCCCGCTATGCAACTCATTCCTTTCGACCCTGAGGCTAAGGCTGCTCCTTTGCACCTCGAGGGAGTGGTGACTCAGGAGCCCGGCATCATCACAACTGGGGATCCCTGGCTTCCACACCCTTATGGGCATGTCAAGGGGCCTGGTTTCCCTCCCAAGTGTTTGGTCCACCACTTCCGGGCCGGCCTGCGCTTTTCTGGGTCCTACGCAAAATCTGAAGGGCTCAGGAGCCACTGTGATCCAGCACACCTGGTGGGGTCCGCCCTTTGAGTCCCGGCGAGATCGCCAGGGCACAAGGAGTCACCTCTCAAGAGTGGGCCACCCTCCTCAAGTCAGAAGGGTCGGAAAAAGCCCTGCGCCGCATTGTCCGGGAGCCAGGCTGGCAAGTTGCTGCTGCAGTGCTTGGCCTGTGGCAGGCTCCAGCCGAGAAGGTCGGTAATTGTCTGGATCCTGATGAGGAAGAAGCTAAGGCCCAGCTCGAAGTGTGGCTCACCGCCTGGAGTCGGCGTCCGGACTGTCCCCGCGACCTCCTGGACCTCGTGCCTTTTGTTTTGGGTCGTCACCGCCCGGAGTGCACCGTTCGTTGGTAACTCCGGTTCTTGGCGATGAAAGGGAGAAGTTCTTTGGGACTCGCGGTTTGCCTTCAGGCAGTGGGGTTTCCTTTCTCGGCCAAGTAGGGCAGGAGGCTGTGCTCAGCAAGCTTGCCGACTCAACTAGGCGCTCCTACAACACGGGGTGGAAGCAATGGGCGGCTTTCATGTCTGGTACGGGCGTCTCGCCTTTCTTGCAGGGAGAGTCTCGGATGGAAAAGCAACGAGACGAAGACTGGCTCATTCGCTTCACGGTCTTCCTACATCAGGTGATGGGATGTACCGCCCAGGGCATCAAGCAACGGCTGTCTGGAATCCGGTACGCGCACATAGCCGCCGGTTATCAGGACCCTCTAGCCGGCAGTCCGGCTTTGGGCAGCGCTTGCTGGAATGAACCGTTGGGACGGTGCACCTGTTCGCAAAGTACCCGTAACACCCGGCATGTTGACCTGGCTTAAGCGGTATCTTGACGGGTCGGACCGCCCCTCGCAGAACGGAAAGCCCTTTGGACCTCTATCTGCCTAGGCTGGTTCTTCATGCTGCGAGCCTCGGAGTACCTCCCAGGCTCGGACCTTTGCAACGTCCCCACGCGGGTTCTTCGGGGTAGCGATCTTGACTTCTTCTGCAAAGGACGGCGCTGTTCTGTGTTCGAGGCCGATTCTGTGGCTGTGCAGCTAAGGGATTCCAAGGGGGATCAGTTCGGAAGGGGGCAAGTTAGACTTCAGCACGCCACTGGCGAAGATATTTGTCCTGTTAAAGCGTTGCAGGAGCACGCAAAACACAACCCTTTCTGGGTCAGTGATGTTAGTCTCCCTGTCTGTGCTTGGCAAGGAATAGGCATCTCACGAGAAAGCCTTTCCGATCTGCTAAGGTTGGCTGCTGTGGCGCTAGGATACCCAGCTCACCTCGTCGCCTCTCACAGCGTGCGAAAAGGAGGCGCCACCGCCATGCTCGCTGTAACAAATGACGTGGAGGTGGTTAAGAGGTTTGGAGGCTGGAAATCGGATGCGGTCCATGCCTATCTGTATACTGACCTTGCTGCTGCCCCTAGCCGATCTAGAGACATGCTGGCGTCCCGCCCGGTGCTTCAGCCACAGCAGTATGCGTGCCCCAGTGGCCACGTTGCAGTAGGAACTAGAGCTGGAGGCCCTTCTAGCGAAGGTAGTGACACGGAAGGCTCCGCCGAGGGGTTTGACGAAAACTGGGCCACTAGCCAGGCGCACCTAGAGCATCTTGAAAGGACCACTGGGCTCACTTTCATTCAGAGAGTTGGATTCGTAGTGAGTGAGTGAGTGAGTGAGTGTCGACCTGGGGTGCTCTCCGGCCTACGGAAACGGTCCCTCTCGCCTTCTTTGCCCCTCCGCATACGTCATCGGGGCTCCGGTGCAGAGTTCAACGCTCCGGGCCCTCGATCCGAGCCGGGGATTAGGGGAGGGATGTGCCACCCGAACCTCCATGGGCCCGCCCCCCCAAGCCGGGCGGCTTGGAATTGGACACTTGGCAAGACAGCCCACATCGCAGGAACAAAGCTCTTCCCTCGATGATCTCTCACCGAAGTACTAAGCTGGGGACACTGGCTCAGAGAGGCGGGGCATTGGGGGGTGGGGTGGTCGACCAAACACGCACACACGCACAGCACCGGCAGCGAGACTAAGGGCAAAAGCACATTCAGCTAAAGCCCTTGTGGCTGCAAATACTCGAACAGTGTCCCCTTGGCGTGTGGGACGATGCCTGATGCTGAGGGCATCACCCCTCGACCAAAAGGGGTAAAGCTGGTGGGATTGTTGATCCCCCACCTTTTCTTTTTCGGTTTGTTGGCACCCCTGAATGGCTCCTCCCCCCCGAAGCCTGCCCCGATAGGACCTCTGAGAGCTCGTCGTCTGTTGCCTTGTCTGGTAGCCAGCCACCGATTGCCCCTCAGGAGACCTGGTTCACGCATGTCTCCCGAGCTGCTTTCTTTGCTCCAACAAGCGTTCCGCTCGCCCCGGCGCACCGCCTCCCCTTCCGCTCTCATCATGGCCGAAGCTGCTCCGCCAACGGGCATGGGGAATCGCCAACTTCGAGAGTGGATCCAGGAATGGGGCAGTGCTTGGGATTTCCTCGGCCTCGCTCCGGGCAGTGCGATGAGTGAAGTTCTTCGCGCTTACAAACGCACGGCGATCCGCCTACATCCGGACAAAAGCCCACCGGAGGAGGTGGAAATGGCCACGGTTCGCATGCCAGGCTCTCGGCAATGCCAAGGAGATCCTCCTAAACCCGAGCCTCCGGATCCTCCATGACAACATCCTGGGCTTGGGAGTTGGAACTGGGGGGACGGTTCCGCCCCCATCAAGCGCGGCGCCGGATGATGGAGGTTCAGGCTCAGGCGGCACCGCCCCCCATCATGGATGGTGGAATCAGGCGCCACCGCCAAAAGCCCCGCCACCGAGCTCGAGTTCCTCTTCGGCACCACCTCCTCCTGGCAAAGGCGCTGGCAAGGCGTCACCGCCACCTGGACGCGGATCCGGCCCGAGTTCCTCGGCAAAGGGCAAGGACAAAGGGCGCTGGGGCACCCCCTTCTACGACACCAGCAGTGATGAGTTTTCCAGCGCTGGCCCAGACACCGAGTCCTCTGGCCCGGAGATTGACAGGTACCCGCGCATCCGCTGTGGACGTGTTCTGAGGTGCTGCAATCAGTGTGGGCATCACCAGTACGCTTGGTGCATGAGGTGCGGATGGGTGCGGCACCACAGGCGATGGAGACACGAACGCCGACCCAGCGAGCACAAGGGGCCTCCCTATGGGTATCGCCGACAGCAAAAGGGAGCTTCTAAAGGCCCCTACGGCGACTCCGCCCCGGGGACTCTTCAGGAGGAAAGGGGCCCAAACATGACGGAGAACCTCCTCGCGGACCTCAAGCCAGTGGATGCGGAGGAACCGGAGAAGCTCGGTTCTTCGTCAGCTGGGGCTCCACCCAGAGCCAACCCATGGGCGCGGACTAAGAAAGCTCCGCCACCCCCTCCACCTTCGGGCTCAAGTGGTCCCGGTTTTGAATTGGCGTATCCCCCTGAAGGAGGAACTGCAGCCGCTGTGGCTGTATTTTCCCGGTATCAGAGACCTACCACGACCAGCCTACAAGGCACCACCGAAAGCCCCAGCCCCGAAGCCGTCCGCCCCCAAAGGCGCCTCCGCAGGAGAGGATCCCAACCAAGGCGCCACCGCCCTCCACTTTCAACAACACGATGCGGTGGATCTGCGGAGGCTGTGGAGAACCGAATGGCCTTCACCGATACGGCTGCAATGGGTGCGGCCGCTCACAACACGCTGTTGGCAACGTGCAGGAGAAGGCGACCCACTGGATTTGCCCAGACTGCAACCAGTGTTCAGGGTGTGGATGCTGGCGGCCGAGACACGGGTCTCTCATCAATAATGGCCCAGCCCCAGACGACTTGCTGGTGCACCCGAGGGCGTCCACAGCCCCACCGCCCTCTTCTGCTACAACCGCGCCGAGCTCACAGCCATCTCCGCCGCCTAAGCCAAAGTCGGTCTACTTCGCCAAGAAAGTCTTGGGAAAGGCAAGGGCATGGGCGCACCGCCAGAAGGACCTCTACCACATACCCCGGTTGCACCAAAGAGCTACGCCCCGGCAAACTTCGCGAATGTGTACAGCTGGTGGTCTTCAGCCTGTAATCGATCCGCCCCAGGGGCCAGCTCCGAAGAAGGCCAGGGCCAGGGGCCCCGCGGAGGAAAATCGCCCTATGGTTGTGGTGCCGAATGGAGAGGCGTTGTGGTTCACCGTGCGCGAGCTGGACGAGACAACCCCCAGGCTGGTCTTACCCTGGACCCTCTTCCAGCACGTGGTCATGTGTCGCAGAGCCCTGTGCGGGTTGCAGTCGTGGGGGCGCGTGGGGGTGGTCTTCATTCGGCGAGTCGCACAAGACATCTTGTACTGGGCACGCCGACGGGGCCATATGTCCCGGATCCATATCGCCAACCAGAACAACCCGTGCTTTATGGATCTGCAGGCTGCACATCCGGAACCTCAAGGTGATCTACCGCCCCTCAGTCCAGCGACGGGAGACCATCGCCCTTTGTTCACCTTCCAGGACTTCCTGAGAAACCCCAGCCTTGGGCAGCACTACAGGGGAAATGAAGGGCCACCTCGTCCGGGCCGTACCGCCCTGCCCTGCATCTACGCGACCCCGCTTCGTCGGCTCCTGCTTGCAGAAACTTATGCGGAAGCAGACAATGCCCAGAATGTCATGGGCCGGTGGGCTATGCAGATTTTGGGCGATGAGCCGGCCGTCCCGCCAGATGAGGGTGCACCACCTGCAGACGGAGGCAAGGGTGACTCCGCCCCGAGCTCGACTCCTAGTGGCAAAGGCTCGGGGAACACCGTTAAGAGGGCCACTCACTGGTACTGCAAAAGATGCTCTTATGGTGCGCCGATCACTCGTTCGATCTGCACCATGTGCAACCGCAACAAGGAGCAGTGTGTGGTGTCCGACGACGAGGAAGCGGAGGACGACGTCGCCCTCAACGAGGAGGAGCTTGAGGAGGTCGCTCGCCTTGAGCGAGAATGTGCGGAGCTGGAGCACTGGAGAACCTCGCAAATAGCTCAAGTGCCGTGATGGGAGGGCTGTTGGCCGACACCATCAGGCGCACCGCCCAGCTGCGAGGCCAAAAAGGCAAGGGAGGATCCAGCAACGTCAAGGTGAGGGCATCCAACGACACCGCCCGGAAAGACCCCAAGTACCTTGCCGACCTGGATGCGGGGGTACCCTTGACGGTGGCATTCCAGCGCCACCGCTCCCGACTACGTGCCGTGCAGCATCAGGTGGCCCAAGGCAATGTGGCATTACAGCCCCGGTCTACTCCAATGCAGACTGTAAGGGCGTTGCCGCCCATGATGAGCCTGGGCCGTTCCCATCGCCTCTACCTCCTCAACAGACTGGAGAGATTGGAGAGGCAGGGAGTCACCTGGATCTAGGAGGAGGTGGGGGATTGCTAGACAATGGAGCAACTCCTGGAAGACCTGGAGGCAAGAGTCAGCGCGGACGCGGAAAGGGCCGAGCCCACAACTGCCTCCAAATCCGCAGGTGCTCCACCCCCTTCAGGTGTACCACCTCAACCAGGCACTACAGCGAGCACCTCGACGGGAACCTCTTCTGCCCCGTCGGGTACAACCGCGGACGGGAGCCTCACCCACCTCGTACCGATCAGCCGGAAGATCGAGAAGCTGGGCGGCCAGTGCCTCCGGACCAAGGCGATGATCAGCCGGGAGCTCACCCCTCAGCCCCTTCTTCTACGACGTCTGAGGGAGGTGAAGCTGCAGGTGATACCGCCCCAGCTGGAACCGATTTGCCTGCTGATGATTCAGCAAGGAGTTCCGCCGTGGACGGTCTTCGCCTCTGAAGCTCTGCGGAGCTTTTCGGGAGTAAGCCCTGTGCACAGGCGTTCCGCCAGAATGGGGGCCAGAGGCTCCGATGTACAGTGGGCGGCGTGGCGATCCGCCCTTGTTTGTTTTGCAAGTTGTTTGTGAGTTGAAGCAAAGCCTCAGACAGCGGACAACGACGGATGGGTGACCCATCCGGAAACAGTCGGGTTTTCGTGCTGCCCCCCCCCCTGCCCTGTCTCTTAGGGAACCGAACTTCTGCATGACACTCGCTGCAATTTTTAGATAAGGCGGCAGAAGCTTTTCAATGCCCGAAGGGAGCGAACCGCCCCGACAATGGCGTGTTCGACTTTAAACGAACAACACCTTCGGCGAACCGCTCTATTGCCCGTTGCAGCGCAAAAGAGAGTGCATGCATAGGACGGTGCCTGCTCTTTTGGTACAGCAGAGTGTGAGCATGCAGAACTTGCTCGTTAGTGATAACATAGAGTTCTGCTAGCGAATGAACCGATGTGTCTCAAGACTTTTCGGCTCAGTTGAAGTTTGGCCCTCCCGCCCTCCCTGGTCTTCGGGCCTTGGCGGCAGAGGCTTTTCAATGCCCGAAGGGAGCGAACCGCCCCGACAATGGCGTGTTCGACTTTAAACGAACAACACCTTCGGCGAACCGCTCTGTTGCCCGTTGCAGCGCAAAAGAGAGTGCATGCATAGGACGGTGCCTGCTCTTTTGGTACAGCAGAGTGTGAGCATGCAGAACTGTTTGTGTCTGTCTGTATCTGTCTGTGTCTGTCTGTGTCTGTCTCTGTCTGTCTCTGTCTGTCTCTGTCTGGCTGTGTCTCTGTGTCTGTCTGTCTCTGTCTGTCTCTGTCCGTCTCTGTCTTTCTACGTCCTTCTCTGTCCTGTCCCGTCCCGTCCCGTCCCGTCCTGTCTGTCTGCTTCTCTGTTTGTCTCTCTGTCGGTCTGTCTGTCTGTCTGTGTGTCTGTCTATAAAATACACACATACATATACCGCGTGCGTCTATCCTCCTGCTACTAAGCGTCGGCACAACCAAGGGCGAAGCCCGAAGCCCCATGGCACAAGCAATAAGTTACTCCAAGTATATAAATATAGACAAATGAACAAATAGCTAAATCAATGAATACAGATGTATTGGTTTATACGCTCACATCGCAGAGGCCCAGCATGCTACAAGATGGAAGACCCCACAGCAGGATTGTGCCCGGTGCTCGAATATGCTTGCACAATGACAATGTCCTTGGAGATGGCATCTGCCGGGCTGCCTTGGCAAAGCACCATTTCCGAGACCGGCACCGGCATTAGTGAAGCATCATGACGGCTTCTCGGCCGAGATCACGACCAGGCTCCATTTCTAAGAAGGACCGCGGCACCCAGCCTTCAGAAAACCCATCCTGGCCAGTTTGCAGCATTTGCAAAGCTCGGGGAGGGTTCTCAAAACAACATCTCCCTTTCGCTCCTCGGCTCTGCACCAGATCCAGTCCGCATTGTCCTGAAGCTGAGCGGCTGAGCGGCTGAGCTGTGACTCTCTGCTCTCCGGCTCTCTCCGCTCTCTTTTGACGGAGCACGTCACTGCAGTAGGGAAGAGACTGCATCTATGACGAGGACACGTGCGCCCTGAGCCACGCTGAGCTCGTGCTCACTGTTTCCAACGACCTCAACAGCGCTCATCCGTGTTCGAACCTGCGACATTCAGTGCCGTACCCACCTCACAGCTAGCAGTGGCATACTTGCCCGCCGCATTTTGTGAGAGCCCGTGCTGCGACCTTATCCCAATTTGAATTCAATTCCTCCGACTTCAGACCTCTCTCTGGCTGAGCTCTCTGCAAGGCATCAGTAATCTGCTGCAACTCGGTTCCGAGATACAAGCCTCGGAGCAAAGCATGCCCACACCGGTCTTCTCTATGACAGGGAAACGGATTGATTTGTCCTCATATGCCCCCGGGTAGAAAAGCTTGAGGGAGGGTTTGCATCAGGAGTGTGACGAAAGCCCGCAGGCGGCCATGCACTGCAGAGTTCATCGAAAATCGACTCCCTGACGTCTCAGCCATGGTACAGAACTGCATGCACTTCTCCATCCACTCGGGATCAGCACTGCGATCTTCTGGCTTGGCCTGCGTGGTCATGTGCTGTCTCGCCAGGGAGCTTAGGCCTGGGATGGGCCTACAGCAGTGGAACTGTTTTCAAGCTTTTGGGCTTCCGAACGACCTTCTGTTTCTGTGGTCCAGGACATGCCCAGCCAGGGTACTTGGCTTTTCAAGTGCAACCAATGCTTTTATGATGGGCCAAGGATGGCCAAGGCCATTTCGGCACAGGACTCAGGACACAAGAAACGGACTGAATCTAGGGCGCGTTTACTATGTTTGCCCCGAATTTCTCTGGGGCAAGCGCTGTGGCTTTTGTGTTGAGGGTCTTATGCCGGGCTAATGTCGTGACATCACAAAAGAGGATAAAGCTCCCCGGGTGATGGCCATTCGCCCAGAATTGGACTTCAATGGACATGAACTGTTCGCGTTGTGATTTTCCTTGCTGAGTTTGAGCCAAGATTCGGGAGGTCGAACTCTGGAGATCGAAGTTTCGAAATGGATAAGCTTCGAGGAACGTCGCGTTCCGGAAACTTAGTTGTTTGGCCCATGTCCCCGTGCTGGTCTCCCTGCATCTGCGAAGAACTGCTCCGTTGTATTATGCAGAAGTATGAGCAGGTCGAGAGATTGCCAAGGAGAAGCCACGGAAAGAAAGGAACCAGGCGGTGCAAACACCTAGCCTCCAACAGAACGTTATCATCAGCATCGCCATCATCAGCACCTCGTCCTCGTTGCGTACATGGATGTCATCTCTCCCCCCTCCACCATCCTCCACCCCCCACCGCCCACCACAGCAGAAAAATAGTGCAAAAGCGGGTAACGTCGCCTGAATCTCTATACACGGGGTCCCTGTTTTAGATGGGAAAAAGATGCGAATCTTTAGAAGACAGATTAGAAGATACCTGCCAGGCAAAGCTCGAAATGAACATGACGAACATGCACAGAATAAGGTTTCCGAAAGACCGATGAAAGATGCGATTCTGCATCCTTCTATCTGCCCCACAGTTTGTCTTCGATTGCGAGTGTGTCTTTCTCAATGTCTAGTGTCTAGTGGGTGCTTTCGTCCCTTGCTCCTTCGCTTGGACAAGGTTGCAACAATCGCTGCCCAGTGCTTCGCAGCTACTCTTTCCCATTGCCTGTGCAAGGTATGTTTCCAGCTGCACAGCGTACGCCACCACCTGCCACAGCAACGGCAATCACAATGATGGGACAGCCCATGCGTACAAAAGGGGTGCTCTATGAAACCTTAGCCAACGCCGCTTTTTTCTGCAGCAAACAAAACTGCCTCCTGTCAGCATTCAGTACCTGCCTCCTCCAAAGCTTGCAGAACGAGCCGATGCCATTTGGACCTCAGAAGGAGCTCTGCGCACGACGACAAGATGTCTTGCCTGCCACGGCCGTTCGTGCTCCGAGAAATAATTCTGAGAGCTACCAGTAAGTCCTAGGTCCTAGGTAGTGCAACAGGACACACACGCAAGACAGCCAGCAGGATCAAGTGAGGCCCTCGCGCAAGCATCGCTTCCGAGCGGTTGTCTTGCAGGTAGGCGTCGGTTACCCAACCAATCTGCCTTTCCAGAGATAACGAGAAAGCCGGAAGATAATAGAAAACCTCAGCATTAATGAATATTGTGCGCCTGTCGTTTGTTGATCCAGGAAGCTGCGGGCCTTAGCGTCGTTCCGAAAGCTTGATACTTTTTCTGCCCGGTTGTCTGCTTTCTTTCTGGGAGCGCTCCATCCTCTCCAGAGATTGGCCTCGACCTACCCGAGGCACGGGCCAGTCCACAAACGGCACTGTGCCCAGCCACTGTAATGCCGACTGACGACCTGCATGTGCGCTTCAAGCAGATAGTCCGCCATCAGTGTCAAGCCCGGCGCAGCAGCTCTTGAAGGCTCCGTCCGTTTCCAGGCATGCCATTCTTGGAAATGCCAGTGTGTGAAACCGCAGGCGGTAGCTCAGCAAAGCAGCAATGACAACACATTCTGGCTATTTCGTGCTTATGCTAACACATCCGGAACAGCAGAACAGCGAGGGATGGTATTAAGAGTTTACACGAACCACGGGCATCCTTCTTCGCAACGAGCTGCTTGACGTGTGCAGGTTGCACCGTCAGCATTTAAACATCTTTGCAGCTTTTTGCAGAAATTGGAAGACTTCCGTCGCCATCTTGACCTGGTCACTGGTCACTCGCAGATACAAGAAGAGGATGGTCGCTGTTGCCAAACTGGACAACGGTTTAGGCGACAAGTACCAGTAGAACCGCACCAAGCGACCCTTTCCGGATTCTTGTCTGGATGCCATTCTCGCAGCAGCTTTCGAAAAGCCTTCTGTTTCTCCTGGCATCCCACTTTGCAAGTACTACGTAGCGAGCAAGTCCTGCACGCTTGAGCAACACGTTGGCCACAAGCAAGCTTTCGGCTTCCGGCACTCCTGCCCATCGGCCATCTCTCTGATGTCTTGTATGTGCCTGTAGCCAAACCGGATAGCAAGTGGGTGAAGATTCAGCTGGGACTGAACCGATCCAATGCTTGGCACACCGTGATGCTTAAGTTGCTACCGAGTTGCTGCATAGCTTCGCGCTTTGCATCCGTCGCATCTTCCGGCCTCAGTTTTAACCACATTAGAAATAAGTTCTTGAACGATGTCCCATCGCTTGTGAAACGTTGGATCTCCAATAGTGGGAACCATGGATGCTGGGAGTCCGGTGGGAGCCTTCGAACAAGTTTGCTTGGGTCAGTACGACACAGGCTCTAAACTAGACCTCCCAACGGTCCAAAGTGTCAGGCAAGTCAGCCAAGTAGGGCTCCGAGTGATTCCACCATGTCCATGGTTGCTACATCTGTCGTAAGGGCGTTGCGCGACAGATCATTGAACGAAATGTCATTCGCGTGTGCTGGTTTCGAGGGGCTTGCATTACAGCTGTAGAATTCGAGGGGCTGTGCTTTCAGTGTCAAGTGTCCCTCTCGGACAAATCCAGGTGAGGCTGTTCAGGTCAATTTGGCGTTGTGTTTGCAAGTTTCAGGCAACCCGGAGCCGTGGTTGTATTCGAAGCGAGATCCTCTCAGCGTGAACTCAGACTTTGCCTTGGCGGATTCGAGCTGCTGAAACTTTTCGTCTTACAAACTCCTAACTTGAGTTGAGTTTTCACGATTCACGACGTGGGGTTTGTTCCCCATCCCACCTAGCAAATACTGCATTGCAGCGTAACTCCGCAGAAGCCCAGAAACAACTGGCGATCTTGAAATCCTAATTGCCTTGCAAATGACAGCTGTATGACGGCGATCTCATGTTCCTGATTCCTCATTGTGGTTGGAGGTGAGGCTTTGGAGCCTTTAACTTAAGTTTTCTTGCCATGGAAGACGTCGCCAATGTCACCGGCGTTGCACTTAGTCTGTTCGTAACGAAATACATAACAAAGGCATTGGCCGAGAGGCTTGTCTTGTGCCACGAGCCCACCAGAAGATGAGCTGCTGCTTGATGATTTACTGCCGGCACGTCCTTGTCACCGAACTAAGAATTTGGCGGTCCGGCATCTTAGCAGAAGGCCGGACCTTCCTGAACTTCAAAACACAGCAACACTTGCTGCTAAAGAACGGCCACGATGTCTGTGATCTCTGTGTCCACGATGTCTGTGATGGCTGTGGTCGCGATGTCTTTGATGGCTGCGGCTTCGTTTCTTGGGTCTGCACAGGCTTTTGCTGCGGCTTCTGCTTGGCAGCCGAGCTCGCTCTATAGCGGCAGCAGCTTGCCCAACACCCCTGCCAGGTTGGACGCAATTAAGCGGCAAGACACCACAGAATGGGCAAATATGCATAACAGTTAGCTATGCTAGTATCAGGCCACAGCTGTTTGTCCCAAATCCTGCCTCTGGTGGGCGCTCAATGGCTTGACAGCGCCACAGACAATACACCTTGCCTTCATTGTCAAGTTCTTCCCTCCGCATGGACATATCCAACCCATCCATGCATTTTCGGCGTTGTCCTGAGCAGGCTACATGCTTGGCGTTTGGGGTCGACTCTCTGCCACACAAACAGGAGCAAAGGCTGCAAAGCTGCTCGCTGGGCCATCTTCTCTGCTATTCTGGCCTGGCTCCACCCAAAAGCATGTCAAAGAGGTGGAAGAAGCATGGGCGTGCATGAATGACATTGGACAGAGCCTGCATTGAAGCTTTGGTGTTGGATCCTTAGCAAGACAAGTCCGGCAACGTGGAGCATCAGGGGGGCAGACTGGCTTTCGGCTAGCCGCCGGAGCTCGAACCTGCACAAAAAGGTGCGGGAGCGACACTTCTGCACACGAATCTGCCGCCCGGCACCACGCCTTCGGAGGAAGAGCTCGAGCTGGAGCTGGAGATCTTCTTCACTGATGCGCTCATGGCTCGGCACATGGAAAAGCTCGAGAGCTCGAGCTACACCATTTATCGGAAGCTTTTCTCATGTGCTGCAACCGCTACCACCCGAGAACAACATTGACTTGGGCAAGCGCAGAGTGCAGCGCAGTTGCCGGAATGCTGAGACTTTCGAGTCCATGCCGCGTGCATCTAGGGGCTATGAGATGTAGGGTGGCTCCAAACCCTCCTGCTTGCGGGCCTCATGCATGTACAGAGTACAGAGTGCTGCTGAGGCTTGGGCACACAAGCTTCAAGCAAGATGCAGAATTGAAGGCAGCTGACGTTTGTCAAATTTTTGATTGTAGGATGTAGTAGATTGGGTATCGACTGCGTGGCTTCCGCCTCTAGGCCGCAACCAGCTGCTATAACACATTGCCTCCACTACATCGCCAAGCTTGAGGTTCAACAGTCCTCGGCAATTCCGGCCAGCGAACATAAGAAGCCGGCAAGTCGAAAAGGCTGTCGTAAACCCGCCTTCTGCATCACCCACTTCATGATCTGCGAGTTAGAGCAATCACGCGCGCTTGCAATCACTTTCAGACGGTCGCGTCATGTCTGCCAGTCTGCCTGCGATCAGCTGAGCCAACTCCGCTATTCGATCCGCTGGCAACCAGCCCGGCGTCTTGTCGCCAACGCGCCGACAGTACGCCCAGCCTAGAGGCCGAAGGAAACTCTTTTAAGAGGGGTCGTCTAAAACTCTACGGCCACCGTGTGCGCACGTGTATGCACATTCGTCCAGACTGGCCTCCCATCTCACGGACCAAGATTTCCTGAGCGTAAGAGTTAGTCAATCCTGGTCTCTACGTGTGGATGTTCACGGGACCATTTCCAGTAAACACCAGGACAGCAAAGCGTGCTCCGCCGACTTTAAACTGCAACCTCAAGGATGATCAACTAGCTCGGCATGCGCAGGGGCAAGTATTGCAGCTTGGCTGCTACTTCCTGCCCTTCTCTCGCCTCGGTCAGACGAGACTCCGTCATCTGGATTCTGCACACGTTCCCTGAACACCCCGAAGCTCATGCAGTCAGCAATGCAGCATGCTCCTACACCGTCCTGCATCTTCTTTGATCAGGCGGAAGCCGGACTCCAACGTAGCAAGTGCACAAGCCCATCCACATACACGCAAACATTAAGACATGCATTCCAGCGATTTCGAGTGCACACACGCAGCCAGACGGACGGACAGACAAACCAGCAGGAAGACGCAACAAACACGATGAACTGGCGGACAAGACAGACACAGAAACAGCAAATGCAGCGCACCGCCCGAAATTACGAAAACATGGGACTGATGCGGTATGAGGTCTCGTGACGCCAAGACTGCAGTCACTGGACTCACAGTTTCATCCTCGCGCACGCTACGAAGCTTCTCGGCAGGTGTTTGCTACCTTCTGGGCACACGGCTTCGAGCAAAGGAACTTCTGGAGTGGAGCTCTCTGGCTCGTAACCGACCTTGCGAACTTGAAAATCGGCTTTGCGAATTGTGGAAGAGATGCTCCCAAGGCACCGTGACCACGCCGTTGACTCTGACAGGCTGCTCTTCCAGAATCCCCAGCCTCATTCCAGCGCAGCAGACGCATCCTCCGTGTGTCTCGGCACACCGAACATGCAGACTAGCTGTTGAAGTCAAAGGTCTTCGAGTTTTCGATTTCCGCGACTTGGACTTGCAGCTGCGCGCTGTAGTCCTCCGAGACAGCAGGCAGAACCAGCTTTCCAGCTGCAGATGATATCTTCAGCTACATTCGCAAAACTTCTGGCCTCCGCTTTTGTGCGAATGCCCACCTCACAGCTGGAAACTTGTCAAGCTCTTCTCTCCAAGACCCTTCAGGATCGCCAAAGCGAGGTGGCAAAGCCTAGCTGAGTGCATCTAAAAGGCAGGAGACAGTGGGATGAGTGCCAACAACATCGGACCAGAAAAGGACGAATCGAACAACGGCGACCAGGGTGGCCGGGCAGTGATCGAATGCTACGGGAATAGAAAGTGCACCGCAGGAGGAAGAGCTGAGGCTGAGTTTCGTGGGGACAAGAAGCTCGAAACGGATAATAAAATTATGCCCAGGTGGCGATTCTTTGAGCGATCGCTTCGATGAGCTGGTTCGTCTCTTCGTCATCTTCAGGTAGTCTTTCTTCCTACGCACGCACACGACTCATGACGTACGACCATTGCACCAGCGAACTTCGTGCGGGATGTCCTGATCGTTCTTTGCTGGGTCCGGCTTTTTGCTTGCAAAACAGCCCATGGCAAAGACTATTGAGCGGAAACCTTTTCACAACTGACTGTTGAGACCTGACTGTCGATGACTGGTGCGACTGGAACGAAGCACGGTGGCTTCACTCCCTGATGACGGTGCTTTAGCCTACCGCTTCAAAAGTAGCTACGCAGAGCTGCCATCACACTATCACTATCAGCTACACCGGCAGAGGTGGCAGGGCCGCCAGCAGCTAGCCTCAGCTTGACGGCATCATGGCAACTGGACACGGCCGGCACTTATGCGACGAGGATGTTATCTTGTGCCAAGGCGCCCATAAACCTTGCAAAGTGGCTCCGAAGCTGGCGCTTTGCGACCGGCTTGGGCCAACACTGCATAGGAACGAAGGCCGGCGGAATGCGGAATGGGGTGCATCCCAGCTTGCTGCTATGCTACACTGCTATTCCTCGACACGGCGAGAAGCTTCCTTTCTGGCACTGCCTGGTTGCCTCGCTTCGTCTGATGCAGGCCTGCCGGGTCGAATGCTTTCAGCGCATCGCCTGCTGCACGCTCTGACTCGCCAGCCGGCACCGTGATCGTGTTCTTGGCGACGCCCTTGCAGATTTCGTAATCATCGCTGGCAGCGATGAGACAGGGTCTCTCCTGCACGCTGTCACTCATGCAAGATGGTCTTTGCTGATCGTCTTAGGGGGCAGTAGGTTCCCTTGGCCCCGAACAAGAAGGTGATGTTGATCCGCCTTGACGATACACCCAGCTTTTTGAAAGCCAGTCGTTGGGTGCTATGTATGCGGGCAGAATCGAAAACAACAGCCCTGTTCTGTCGATACGGCACGGTGATGTTCGCGTACTCTGACTCTCCAAGCAGGTCCGACAAAAGGCTGTTTTTGTTGGAATCCATCTGGTTGAATGACTCAAAAGAGGAAACGTGCTCATCCACAGATGCATCGAAGATTACAAGGCCGCCGCTAGAATTGTCGAGATTAACTGCATCTGGCGTAATCCACAGATTTACGTTCACTGCGGCCGCATCTGCATGCAGGTCAATTCCGGTTTCAGACTCATCGTCATACTTAAAGGCCCAGACATTTGCCAGCGGCAGGTCGCACAGAACATCCGCAAGCAAGGCCCGCAACTCTTCTGCGATCTGTGAGAGCAGCGGCGATGCGAAGCCCGTGCTGAACCCAGCACCCAGGTAGTGCGGTCGCTCTTGGTACCATATGGTAGACAACTCGGCAAAGCTCCGTAGCTGCAGCAAAGCATCCTGTGTCAGGAGGTCATCAATAACCAGCACACCGCCTGTTGCTAGAAAGCCACCGGCTCGGCTCGAGCGTTTCGAGGAAGCTTGGCTGTGCAACAGCCGAATTTGAAGCTCTGAATATGGAGTCAATGCTGGCAGCGCAAGGCGCGGACTCGGATGAACGTAGAGTCGGCGACTGTGGAACGGATACAGGCTGTGCCAGTGCTCGTCAGTCGGACGGAGAAGCCCACCCTCCACACGTTCTGCTGCACCGAGCACACGATCATAGGCCACTAGTGCACCTTGGGCGATTGCATCTGATATCAAATTCCCCTTTCGCAGCAATTCAAGTAGAAGCTTGTCGTGTCGCAATCTGTGCTCGTACACAAGACCCAACAGACCAACGTTGCTGTCCGTTGGGCGAATTTCTCCACACGGAAAGAATCCATGTGATGGCATGTGGACAGCAAGAAGCTCCGGCTCATCCTCACTTAAGAACATGAACGGCTGTTGAAATCGAATCATGGAATACGCCTCCCAGCCATCAAAGGCCTCAGCAAAGGCTGTCGAACTTGGAGGTGTGGCATGCGCCCACGTGCCATTAGGGCCCCAGTGCAAGACGTTTGAATCACCAGAACGAGGCAGTGCAAAGGCGAGCGTTGATGCGGCAGCAAGCTCTCGAAGCAGGTACCGGCTCTTGGGGAACCGTGACAAAACGGTCACAAAATGAAGACGAGCTTCTTCTGGGGCCCGGTGTGTAAGCAGAAGGTCCCAACCTAGATGAAGCTGTTTGAGAATCTGCTCTCCCAGGCTCACTTTGCTGAAGTCTTCTGTCAAGGTCCGCAGAGACTCCTTCCAAGCACACTTCAAGGAATGGAGAACATCCCCTCGAAAGAAGCGCCCACGATAGATTCTGATGGCATGTTTCAGCAGCTCAACCTGGGCTTACCGCACCAGGTTGCATCGAGAGCCTACCTTTGCAGTCCACCAATCCGGCTAAGCATTGTCTTGGACTTGGAAACTGTCACTGAATGACCGAAGCAACTCGCCCCTGTGCATGCATGATGTGCGCGATTGCGCGCGCAAAGTTGGCTCGCCCTCGGAAGAAGCTAATTGCAAACGCAGCCTTGCAGCAACGATTCGACTTTCAGTGGCCAATGGAGATGCACACTTGCATGCCACAAGATGTCATGCAGTCCTGTATGTCTGTCAACTCCCCCTGCTGGCAGCTACCTGCCAACGCACAGCGGGCAAACTAGGCACCTGGATGTAACAGGGTATCTTCTCTGCCTGCACCGACTGACTGGAGATGCCGGCAGGTAGCTTCAGCAAGCGCAGAAACGGAGTCGCCATCACGAACAAGTATCCTGTTGCCGGGCATACAACTGCAAGACCCACATCCTAGCCCGTGAAGCGGTTACAAAAACCCTGTGGCCGACTGGCGTCACTAGGAGTTGCATCACCACTGCAATCTTGCCGCGCATCTGCTCAAAGACCTGTGCACCCGTCCTGGCAGATGCGTTGGCCTGACAAGATCCATGCTGCAAGCCCGGGTGGAACACCGGCTCAGGGTCGTTAGTAAGTGAACACACGCCATTGCAAAGCCAGCTGTGCTCAGGCCTTCTGCACTGTCGTCGATGCGATAATCGGAGCTCTGACATTGACGACTGCATCAGCACCCCGGTGGACACATAGACCTTGTGGGAAGCTGCGGTCTCCGGGCTACCAGTGCCTTCAGCGACATGGCAGAAAGACGGCCTTGAAACACAAGGAGCGCCAAAGTTCTTCGGGCTTGCATCAACATGAGCCCGGACTGCCAAAGCAGCTGCCGCCGTCGTTGGCAAGTCTTCTGAACTGTAGGGCTGATATGCTGCATGGTGGCATCAATATGCACGCTACAATGGCCATGGCATGGGCTACGTGAAACTTGGCTTTTCAATGAGCCACACTTCCCACTTCGCAGGATATTTCGTTTCCCATGATCTCACCGAAAAAATGAAGTTCCACGACCCATGCTTTGCTAGTCTGCAGCGCGTCTCTTTGCCGTACTGAAGTCACACGACCAACGAAGTCAGCAGCACCAAAGCCTTATTTCAAGACTTGTCGTGGGCTAAGGAATATTCTGTAAGGTCGCAGTCGTACTACCTTATTTATTCTGAGACCAGCAGCCGCGATGAGAGTGTCCGAGACGGGCTCCCTGAATTTGCAAAGCCAGAACGGACCCCGAGGCCCCCCAGCAGCGTCCCAAGGCTCCGACACCGCATCGCTAACGGCAACCCTTATGCAACGGGAGAGTGGCAGCCGGCTCCTCGCAGGTTTAAGGCCCGAACGCTTGTTGCGGTCGTCGAGTGGTGCTTGTAGTATTGACCTCCATGGCCAGAGCAGAAGCTTTAAAAGCTGCGAGTCCATACAATAACCAAAAAAACCTGCCTCAAACAGAGATGTCGTTGACTCTGTTGACTGGCGAGGGGTGGCTTCAGCATCAACTCGACCGCCCGTGATGCGAAGTGGCAGAACGCCGTTTTAGAGTGGCATCTCTTGAAAATAGCATTCAGCGATGTGAAAAGCTTTACCCTTCTCGGGGCTCGAGGATCAAACGGAGATCTGCATAACCTCTTGGCACGTGGCGAAGCTTTCTCAAAAGCGTCTCAATCGTCAGCGAAGTCTCACTGTACTCTACTGAGTCTACTGCCTGCTAGCCAGGACACCGTCTCGAACGGCCAAGGCGGAAAACAAAAGGAAGCTACAAGCGCTGAGGCCCAGCACGAGCCTTTCGCTCAGTTTGCTACCCTCCAACAATGAAGCCGCAAGGACCGCAGAGAGGGTCAGCACCTGGGTCGTCCGTGGGCAAAACATGCACTCAGCCGCAGGGAGCATCTGAGCGCAACACACCCCATGCACTCAGAATGACCATGAGCCGGGCGGCAAGGAATGCAATCATTGAGCCGATGCAAACCGGAACCCAGGGCGCCGAAGAGTGGAGCGTCACCATTGCCACCTGCGTCCTGTCGCCCCATTCAGCCACGAAGACTGCGATGAAGACTCGCAGAACGACATCCTGCGCATCCGATCAAGTGCCCATACTTGGAGGCCAATTGCTGACTGCAGCCCTGCTGCGAGAATCCACTAATTTCTTCGATCGAGCTCGGTCCTTCCATGCCTGCTCTGTTTTCCCACCTGAGCACCAAATCGCGTGAGCCAGGAGCCAACTTCTCCCGCGCTCCACTGCATTCCCCGCTTATTGCCATTGGTTTCTTTGCCTACGAAGCAGTCTCTAGAGACTCTAGAGTTTAGTCGCTCCGGCATGCTCCGGCCTTGATCTTGCAATGCTTCCTTGGCTTCGCCGCTTCGCTCCTGAATCACATCATCATCGCTTCCTGCTCGGAGATACTCGGTAAGATAAGCGATAGCCTCAGATGTTTAGCTGCCGGCGGAAGCTTCCAGCAGTGTTCGTGTTTCGGTTGTAATCCTAGGTTTCGCGGGTAGGGGCGTCATCTAGCAATACCTCAGGACCTCGGACATGGCAAGCTGGCCCCCATGAGTCTGATTGTCTCCAAGCGACCAAAAGCAAAAAGACGGTAGCCGTAGTAAAGCAAAGTACTGTGACCGAAAACAGCTGAGCAATGGCCACGCCCAGTGCTGCTGCCAACAGCACGTGCACAACTAAGGCCACATACGCACCAATGAAGGCACGGCTTTTGCCGTAATTCATGGCCTTGGATAAAAGTCATGAGCGATGCAGATCTCTCAAAACCAGAAACGGTCGGCTGTTGATTCATTAGTTTTGCCGCAAAAGGCAAACGTACTTCTTTGGTTTGCTTCGTGATCCCGCTCTCATATATATATGTGTGTGTGTGTATATATATATATATACATATACATATACATCTCTCTCTCTCTCTATCCTCTGGGCCTAAAGCCCCTGCTGCGTTAGTGAAAGAAAGCCTTTTCGATTGCCCAGAATCAGAACTAGCACACACTGGCAAGAACATACGTAAACTGAGGCCGTGATCGTGTGGGTGTCGCCTACCTCCAAATGCCATCGAAGGTGCGCAAATCAAAGCCACAAACCAAGTTTTGTCGAACAGCTCCGCAACTGCCACCACGGAAAAAGAGCGGAGCACGACGTTGAAGTCATCGGAAAGTGATCGATACATGGTGCTTGTCTTCGTTGGCTTCTGCTGCTGACTAGCCGCGAGCGTAAGGCGGCTTGACGAATCTGCGAGGGCATTCACGTCCGCTTGTAGGACCGTTAAGCTTGCATTCTGCTCTCGCACATGGGCCAAATTGGACAGGCCCTGGCTCTGGTCAAGGAATAGAAGGCACAGAACAAAGCGAATCATGGAGAAGGTGCAATCCAGCACCACATTCACTCTCGGGATGTACAGCTCTACGGTTTCTGAGCTGGACGAGTGGCAGCAGAAGTGTGTTGCAGTGAGCCGTTTATCTTGCCGCTCTGACGACCTGCGCTTCAACATGTTGCAAGGAGGCCTGGCTGGGCTGATCGTAGATCGTCCATTGGCCTCATCTCCCAAATTCCTGCTAGCTGGCCCCTTTTGCCCCAGGAGTCTCCGCTGCGCAGCTGAGGTCCAGGCATCCATTTTGATTGGTTCGGGCAGAACTTGGGCAAATGCCTGTTTTCATGGATGGCGAGATGCAAGAGAGTTCCTAGGCGATTGCTCAAAGGCAGGAATGGAAGATGACGACATGGCAGGCTTGATTCTCCTAAGCTTACTTGGCAGGATTTGAAATGATGGCTGCATTCGAGCGAGCGCAGTCGCAGCACCCCCGAGCCCTCGAGTCAACACGCGCATTCTTATGTACTTTCGACATCTGCAGAACGTGAAAGAAATGCCCATGAAGTCATCATCAAGCGGAAAGGTGGTGCAGGGCAGCCAACTGCAGCGGACAATGAATACAGAATGATCGACGGTGTGAATGGTTGGATCACCCTGTACTGCCTCTAAGGCCCACGCACTCCGGTAATTAGCGCTGTTAAACTTTTGTAGCTGCACGCTCTGGTAGCAAATACCATGTATGCCTTGTACCATTACAGAAAGTCAGCTCGATTTCGATAGCCATGCCCGAGCGCCATGGACAGCCCGCAGATCAGGGGAAATTGCGCACGGCTGCCCCTCGAATCCCCTACGAATGAATTTATTTACATGACGCACTGAGGTTGCTGCCGAAAGTTCTGCAAAGGCCGCGAATGGTGTCCTTGGTCAGGGGTGTCCCTGAGCACGCAGGATCAATGCGTTTCGGTCCGGGGCGGCCGCATAGTCGAAGCCCTTGGCTCTCACATCACGAAATGCTGCACAAGACTTGTAAGCCGAGCACGCTGCTCTGCAGCCTGTGTCCTCAAGTGCAAGTATGTGCAAGTGCAGATGCCAAAATAACTGTTTTGAGCTGCTCGGGGCACTGTTTGCTAGCATGTCCTGCTCACAAAGCTCTTCGCATTCCAGCAATCCAGTCCGCAGGACCTTTGTGGAAGGCGTGCAATACAGAAATGCGATTTGGTCGGTCACGGGTTGACACTTGGCAGAACTGGTCTGCACGCATGGTTGAGGTTTTAGGTAATTTAGTTTAGTTGCTATTTTCTCGTGCTGGCTTCCTGCTTGGAAGGCCTTGGGAGTGCCTGAAAACGCGCGGGGCTCCAGGGCTTCACGCTTGGAGGATCTTGGCAGCTCTTGGCTTTCGTGGTTAGTGCTTACTGCTTTGAAGTTTGGGGTGCGAAGGCCAGGCCAGGCCTCTGACATGGAACGACACTGAGTGCCGGTCCTGTCGAAGCAGAGCTCCAGATGCCGGCATGCAATGCATACCTCGTCATTGCATGTGCGGGGATCTTCCTGCGCAAGTGCTTTCGGGCGCTGGACACTGAACTTTCGCACGGGTCTACGGCCATGCATGAAACGTTTACCACAACTTCTATTTGGGATGTTGGGGTGTTCTGGACATCACATTCTGTAGAAACGACTGCACGTCGAGCGACCGGCTCAGGGTGCCAGGACCCAGACGATGGGCCACAGGTTTTTCTCTCCCTAGCAAGCTGCGAAGGGCAGCGCTGCGCCGCTTGGGCTTCGCAAAAGCTCTTGGGAAAGTGAAGTCTGTTGACACTGGTCGTGCCCTGGTTAGGGAACCTTTTCTTGATACCAACACCCAGCCGCAGGACGTGAAGGAGCACCTGCATAGTCGGGCTGGCGCTGCTTTGCGGCATGCTCTTTAATTTCAACTGTAGCCGTGATCTTCGTAATGTCTTCGTAGGCCTGGGTGCTCCGCTCTCGCTCACGGCTGTACAATGCTTTCCAGGCCCCGACCCCTCAACCAGACAGGCCTAGAGTGAGCAAACATAAGCCTTCATTTTCACATCATCCTAAACTAAGACCAGGGGGAGACTTCAGACCAGCGCCATGCAGAAACCGTGTCAAGCACGGCGTTCCAATTCGACTTTACTTGGATGTCTGCACAACGCAGTTCGGCCAACTCCTCGCAGCTCTGGGCACAACGTTGCGGCCATTCCCCCCGGAGCGCAGCTTTCTTGGCACGTATGTTAAACAGTTCTCGGGAATCCACCTACACCATGCCGAAGATTTTCTTATGCGACCTGAAACTGAATCACGGCAACTAGGTGAACATCTTGCCGACACAAGTCCAACACATATAAAATCACATTGGCTGGATACACAAACATAATCCAGGAGTCTGGCATCTCGTTGGCGTGTAAGTGCTTTCGACCAGAGGAGCCAGCAGGTCTCTGCCTGAAGCACTTGAGTGAATGATATAATTAGCACGTGGCCAATGGTCTGCGCGAGATTCACAAACAAGCAAAACACGAACACGATTGATCACGATTGCACCGCAAGTGCCTGGAACCGGCAAGGCCCTAGCTGCAAGACAGAAAGTGCTGGATGAAACTATATGAACAAGACAGAAGCAGCAGCATGCAGAATTGAAACAACAGCGCACAGAGCAAACCTAAGCAGCTGACCCACCAGGATGCAGTTAGTTCTGAGAACCTTGGTCAGGTGCTACAGCATCAGAACTAAGCCTGAACAACTCTGACCATCTCCGGCATCTGCTGAAAACAGACCGGGCCTCAAGTTCCTCGTTTGCCTGAGCACAGCTCGGCTCGTCCACACCAGGCTCCTGGCAGCGATATTTCTATTTCGTCATCTTCGGCTCTTCGTTCCATGTGCAAAGAGACCACACTATGCCCGCATTTCTGGTACTCTGGCCCTTCCACTGCGTTTCAAAGATATGTCTCTGGAGCGTGCTCCGCGTTGAAATCTGTCATGCCCCAAGTCTGCAAATGCCGCGTGCCTGATTAAAAATCAAACAGAAACCATGAAGCATCACTTTGCCGGGCATCTTAGCAGCAGGGCGTGCATCTGGATGGGTCAACCCTGGTTCGAGAAAACCATGCTTGGTGATTCAGGCGCCATGGCTATCACTAAGCATCTGAAGGTCGACCCGATAGAAGACAAGTGGAATCCCATTGGGCCCACAAAGAAAAGACTCGTTGTGCGATCTGTGCATGTAAGCACAGTGCAAAGTAAGGAACAAAATGCATCGAGAGGAGTCTCTCCATCTGTGGCGCAACTTAGCATTCTGTCCCAACTCCAGGTAGGAGTTGGAGCTCCACAAAAGTGGCACTGGCCAAGGAAACTGGCAATCCCCTCCCAGCCAAAAAGTCTGGGGATGCCAGTTTTCGAACAGGTCCTGAACTATACAGAACGAAAGATCAAGAACCTCCATAAGCGAATTTGGGTTTGTCACCGTGCTTGAAGCTACGATGACATGCGATCCCTCGTTGAAGAGATCCCGCGCCAAAGAAAACCTAAACATGTTCTTAGCCAGGCCAGGCTAAGAGTTCTTTCTGGGAAGAACTTCATATTCAAAGAGAGAGCCATTCACGCAAATGCGGCTCCAAGCACCGAGCCGCCTTGTGTGCAAAAGCTCTTGGTGTGCACAAACGAAGGGGCAAACGTGCGCCCCTTCAGAGGCACGAACAACTGCAGCAGCAGTGAGAAAAGGCTATGGAAGGGCCACTCTTCCATAAGATTACCAAACAGGGGCCATGTGCAACGTGCCAAGACTGGCTTCTGGCAGAAAGGGCAAGGACTTTACGCATGCATGATTTCCACCATGTACCTGCCAGACACCTCTTGCAACGTTCCCAGTCGGCCCAAACTTCAAGAACGGCATGGTGCAACATGCCCTCAGCGCGCTGCCACCTGCCAGGGGGCATGAACAGGATCGAACAGCAAGACTGCAACCCTTCCTCTTTCTGCACCCAGAGCCTGTCCAATTTGTCTGACCGAGGTGGCGCGTGGGTGGCCTTTTTCGCTGAGTGTCAACGAGAAAATCACCTCGCGAGCAGGCATGAGGCTGCACATCATCCGCCAGCACATCGTGGAGACCTCTCCAATGTGTCTTCTTTCTGATTGCAAAGCCAAGCTACCTTGTCATTCACCTGCTGCATGGCCAAATGATTCGCATGCATGGCTCAAAAGCTCAGCCGTGCCAGCAACCAACAATCGGCCAGGCCTGGATTCCCTCAGGGAGGAGAGAGGAATCCACAAACACATCGCGCTTGTAGTGAACCTGAAAAAGAGTTGGCTCATGCCCGTGAGCATCTACGCACCGTCTCAATTCAGTAGGAGGCCTTCGTCTCATTGCAAGCGATGAAGCCATATCCATTCTTGGCACCTTGGTTTGAAGCCAACCCCGGGCGAGTGTCTTGTGCTTACACACCATAACCAGACTGGCCCGCTCCGAGGAGGTTCAACAATATTCAATAAACACAATGGGAGATCCTACGGCTTGGTCTGATTGACACAAGAAGCGAAGACGAGGTGCTAATTGACTTGAGCTGTCCTTCATGTTCTTGTTTGAGGGCCTGTGCTTCGTCCGCAGGCGCTGCGGCACCTAAGTGCCACGGCGAGTGTCCGAACTAGCGGTTGCATGGCCTAGCATGACCAATGAGAGCAGCAGTAGACCGCGAGGCCACTCAAACGCAGTGCTTAGTTCCTGCTGCAGGTCTGATTGAGGAAGCAACTTGCCGTCGCAGGTGGAGCGGGCGCTGGAGCTGCAGCACTGGGCTGCATGTTGTTGGCACCCACATTACTGACTGGCGCTGGCATGTTCGGATTGATGCCCGGATTCAGTCCACCCAGGCTGCCTGAGAGATCGACAGGCAACCGGACACACATCTCACAAAAACTGGGTTCCACCAAGAACAAATCGTTCAAGCCATGCCACTGTGGAAGGCTTGCATTTGCAAAGCTTGCTGGGCCTGGGAGATGAATTGCGCCTGCATGGCTTGCAAAGCTGCCTGCTGAGTGTTCGGGGCATACCCTTGGTTCGCATAGGCGGCCATTGGGGAAACCACTGGATAACCATACCCGTATGGATACGTCCCTTCGCCCTGATATGGCCAAGGCGGATTATTGGCAGCAGGCAAGGCATTGGCAATGTTTGCCGGCTGCTTCGATTTGCCCTTGCCCTTGTCTCCGCCTTTGCCTTCCTTTCCATCCTTGCCCTTGGCACCCTTTCCTCCGGTTGCCTGTGCCTCACGCTCGGCTTTGGTGGTTCCCTGCTGGCGGTCTGACAGAACCACAATCAAGCTTTTTCCTTCAACCTGCTTGTTGTTCATGGCAGAGATGGCTTTGTTGGCATCGGCAATGGAGGTGTAGGTGACGAACCCATAACCACGGCAAGTCCCGTCGGTGTTCTTCTTCACGTCAACTCCAATGAGTTCGCCAAACGGTTGGAAAAGATTTTGAAGCTGCTCTGTGGTGGCATCCTTCACCAAATTGCGAACACAAAGCTGGATTCCAGGGAAGGTGCCCTTCTTGCCTCCGCCTTTGCCCTTCTCTCCCTTTGTGGCTTTCTTGGGGGCAGCTTGGGCCTCTGGTGTGATAAGGCCAGGCTGTTGGGGAGGTCCAGGTTGTTGCGGCTTCTTCTTGGGTGCGCCTGCCTTGGCCGATGTCTTTGCCGCAGGCTTCGGTGCTGCCTTTCCCTTCGGCTGCGCTCCCGGCTGCAAAGGCCCCGCGGGTGGAGAGCTTGCAGAGGCTGTTGCTTTCTTGCCCTCTGCAGCCTTCGTGTCCTTCTTGCCTTCTGAGGTCGCAGGCTTCTCCTCCGCCTTTACGGTTTCAGCCTTCTTGGCCTCAGCCTTCTTTGGTTCCTCTGCAGGTTGAGACTGTGCTTGCTGAGGTTCTTCAGCTTTTGGCACTTCCTCCACACGCCCGTCCTGACAGTGGAACCCGCACGTGACGAAACATTGCAGACTCGCTTTTTGTGACTGCCTTCGTCGGTTCTTGAGCTTCAGCTGACTGCTGGCCGCCCATGTTGGCAAGGACCGGCCTGCAGCACACAAAAACCGCTCAAATCTACCAGCAAGAACTAAGAAACCCTTCTTAGCCACACGCCAAGTGGCACAATGCGATTACCGCTCTCACCCTTCGCGTTGCTCGGGCGAACCCAAGGCACAAAGTGAGCTCAAGCAGCTGCGAACACCAAAACATGTTGACACATGTCTCATGGGATGCAATCCTTCTCAGCAATACATGCAGAAAGAAGGGCCTGTAAGATGCATTTCACCACTGCGGCCTGACATGCGCCAGCCAAGAAGCTGTGCCGTCCAACCATGGTTTGTGTTGATTGCCACAGCCAAACACGCCAGCAAGCACATGCTTTTGAGCCTTATCAACACAACAAAAAATGCATTGCCAACAAAGGGAGACGATCGTCGAGCTAATTCTCGCGACGAGCTGGTACTTGGGCATCTTGCGGTCATGCATTGTTCCAACCTCGAAACATGTGTCAAGCAAAGTTGCGGTAAAATGAGCCAGTAGGTGGTGAGATTCTTGGCAAGGCACAAAGTCACATCTTCGCCGGACACTTGCCTCTGATGTACCCTGCTGCAATAGCGGCTCTTGCATCGCAGTCCCCGCCTTTGTCGCAAGGCATTCAAATCCAGCTGCAAGCTCGAAAGCCCGTCACAAACGGCGTGACCTGGCTTTGGCGAGCTGTCAGTGCTGGATGTAGCACGGTCCGGGCCCTGAGGGTTTCACAAACCGTGGTCATCTGAAGCGATGTGGAAACCTCAATTGAGCCAGCCACGTCAGCGCGCAACTACACATGGTCCGTAACAAAAGCTGAGCTTGGAGCATTCGCAGTTGTATTCGCTGTGTCATTGCTCGCCATTGCGGGGGCCTGAGCCATGCGCCATCGAACATTGACCGGCTCACTGGCTGAGATTGTGGTACTGGGGAGAAAGCCGCTAACAACACCAGCCAACATTTTTGGCCGGGAAACATTGCATGGAAAACGAATTCGTGCCGAACAAGTTTCAATCACGACCTCGGCTAGTTGTCGCTACGTCTGCGAACTACGATCCTATTGAATCTGCTCTGCATGATGATTGGCAAGTGGACTCACCATCGTTACCAAGTACGGAACCAATACCGTAGAGCATGACATACTCAGGGTGACTCGCGGCAAGGTAAAGCAGGGTTCGACCCGACCAACGCAGTCGCTCGAGCAAACAAAGCTCGGCATCGGGCACTAGAGGTAGCCCCTGGGCCTGATAGTGGGGGTGCCTGACCATAGTCACATGTCACGGGCGATATCGCGCAGGACTCCACGCTTATGCCATTGCCTTTCGCCGTGTTTCGTTGTTAAAGCCCACAATATAAGGTTCCAAGCAAGCGGTGGCTCCCGATGTGCGGAGCCTCACCCTGCTTCGAATTGCCGGCCCACCACATAATTCTCCAATTTACGTAATCCGCTGAGGCCACAGACCCAGGCGTCTTGTTCTAATGAAGTATGACCAGGAAAACACGACATTACAAATTTGTTCAATTCATCATCCCATCGCTTTGGAGCTCGACCTGGCCGTCACCTTGGCTCGCTGTTGAAATTGTAATGGGACGGGGGCTCCATGTTGCCGCACTTTTTGGCATTTTGCCCCACGCTGCACTGATGCGATGTGCCAACTCAGTCACAAACCGACGTTGAAGGTCAACGCGTATTTTCCGTCCAAAGTACATATTGATATGTGCGTCGTTGTCGCTTAGAGCTGGGATCATATCACCGTCAGCGTCGATGAAAAGATGTCTCTGGCGAAGTGACAGTTGTGCAGATGCATTCAACGATAAGCCAACTAACGCCAACTCAGCCCTCAATGATTCCAGCATGACAACAAGCTCATGCCACGATTTGGCATACAGCATTAAGTCGTCAGCAAAGCAAACATTGGTCCAATTGGTGGCACCACCAAACTTGATGCCATGGTCGCGCAAGCGCGCCTTCCACACCCTGGTTTCGTGTTCTAGCGCAGCATTAAACAAACTAGGGCTGATGACGTCACCTTGCTTCACTCCGCACTGAAATGGAAAAGCACGGCTGTCAGCGACAGACCCTTTTTGTTTGTTTTGTTGGTTTTCTTTTCTTCGCACCTTTTTCCGGCAGCCCAGAGTCCAAGAAGTCAGTGCCTACCTAGTCCTACGGAGGCAATCGTGCCAGGGCGCTAGCGAGGCCCCTGGCGGCTGCCAATCGGCGGAAGCTGCCAGCGCATGTCCACGAAGACCTCATGCACGGCGACGGCGCGCTGTGCAGCGACAGCGAGAAGCCCTGACCACCGGGCCACCCACGCCGCACGCGCTGCTGCTCGCATAGCCGCCTGCACGTCCGAGGCACGTTGCCCGGCGAGCGGTGGCAGCCTCTGCGCCAAACCGGCCCCCCACCTCAACGCCGACGACCACCAGGCGGCAGCGGCAAGCTTTGCGCAAAAGGTATATTTCAAGTTTGGCATGGTGAAAGCCGGTATAACTCCGGTATATAAAATCCACGTTGGAGTGACATGTGTCGACCGTCGTCCACATCTGAAACAAATATATCCGAAACATCCCGAAACATGGTCAGCAAGTTCATGCGGAGAGGAATCCTGGGCATGAACAGATCGCGCACGTTTGATCGGTTCATGCCACACGGACTCCAATCGGCTCAAGTCCCGAAAATTCCCGCAGCACACAATCCATTGTGCATTTCGCTTAAGGCGCATCTCGTGTCGCAACTCTGTGCGGATGGACTTGGACAATCTGCTGTGTTCCATTTTTGTCATTGTTCAATCTTGTCACGGCAACCACGACGAAGATACATCAGCACAGCACGCTGTCGGGGGCGCGGCGCTGGGCGCCTCCCGGTTGTTCCCCCGCACCGCTACAAACCAGCCGAGCGGGGGGTTCACCGTAGCGCTGGTACACTTGGAGAAACAACTAGAAAACAATTGGCCCGAACGCATCATTAGCGCAGAGTTTTGCGCTACGTGATAGAATCCAGTGCATAGAACCATAGAGTCAGAGAGTGAAGTGCATATAGTCATCAAGTACATAATAATGCAGAGATCGATGTACTTGACTTTATGTATCTCTCTCTCTCTCTCTCTCTCTCTCTCTCTCTCTTTTTACTTCACTCTGCATATTGCACTCCATGTTGTCAGGGCTCTCGAATCAGTGCATAAACTCAAGTACATGAAGGCAACTGCATACAGTGACGTGCATAGAGTCAAGTGCATAGTCCAACGCATAGAGTCAAGTACATAGAGTCAAATAGTCCAGTGCATAGATGCATAGGGTCCCTAAGGTTGGATCCAAAATCGAATTTTGCATACAAACTTTAGTACTCGAGGTGTCTCTTTTGGGCTCAAGTCAAATCTCCGGTTCAAGGGTCCTCAAACCTCAAGTTTTTCTTGGATGATTGAAACAAACGAAAATCTCGAGGTTTATTGGTCTACTATTGGTGAACCAATGCCTATAAACCCTAACCTTAAGCCCTAAACCTTTAAGCAATAAACCCTAAACCCTAAGCCTTACACCCTCAGCCCTAAACCCTAAACCCTACAAGGTCATAGGCTCAAGTATACATGTACATAAACTCATATTGGTCTAATCCAGTCCAGTGCATAGAGTCAAGTACATATGTCAGGTACACAAGTACATAGAGTCGTAGAGTCAAGTAAATTTTCATTGTGTGGACTATGCACTTGACTCTATGTACTTCACTCAATGTACTTCTCTCCCGAACACCCCAAATCGAATTCTTTGTCTTATACAAACTTTAGTACTGGAGATACCCTCAGGTACTGTTGGGTCTACCCCGGGTCGGATATTCGACCCCAAACCCTGGGTCTAATATCCAAACCCTAGGGTCATGCAAAGGGTCATTTTAAACCTTCACGCTTTGGCCTATGATCAAGTCTCTGTTGGGGCCGTTGTGGCTCGTCATTGCTTCAGTACGTTTGAGTTCGCGCTTTTGCGTGCTACTGTAGGTTCCTGCCGGCTGTGCTTCTCCCCGGTCCCAGTTATCGTCTCTGGTTCTGCTTCTGTCCGTTTCGGTTCCGCTGTGGTCTCCGCTCAGCTCTGGAAAGTCTCGGGTTCGTTGTTTTTTTCGGTTCCAAACCGGTTTCGGATCGGATACACCCCGGTTCCTTGTGGCGGTTAGGCTGTGGTTTGTTTGGCGCTGGTTTCGGTTCGGATCTTGCTGCGGTCCAATTGAGTTGCACTGAGTGCGGGGGCCCACTTCCGAGTGCCGCCGCCCCTGCATAATGTCGCCTCCCAAATGTCCCACGTCGCCTTAAGGCCTTTCGGAACCTGGGAGGAACCTGGAAAGCCTAATTACTTAATTTTCGTTTTGCACACGGATTCTCGATGCGACTTGGGCTGAGTTCGGTTTGGGTTGAGGTGGAACTGTTTTGCTTCCCAGGTCTCGTCTTGGGTTGTCGGCTTGGGGTCGGTGTCTCGACATCAATGGGTGTCTCTCCCCTGTCGGTTCCGGCAGTTCCGTTCGTTTGGGTTCCGGCCTGAATCTTTTCTTTTTCGGTTTCACCAAGGTTTCCCTCAGCTCGCATTTTTTACGAAGCCCTGGCAACCCTCTATGGAGGTAGAAGCACGAAGCCAAGAGTGCTCCAGGCTGAGTTCCGAAGTTCCGGGTTTGCTGCTTCTGGGTTCAGGCGTTTAAAGTTTCTGGGTTTCTGCTTTTCTGGATTTGAGGATGTTTCTGAATTTAAGTGTTTAGCGTTTCTGGGTTTCTGTTTCTGGGCGTTTCCGTGTTTAGGTGTTTAGGGTTTCTGTTTTTCGGTATTCTTCCCGAATCGCAGTTTCTGGGTTTATGTGTTCAAGTTTACTGGGTTTCTGCGTTTTTGTGCGCTCGTTTAACGTTTCTGGGTTTCGGCCCTATGCTTTCCAGGGGAACAAACCAGGGCACACGAGTACCACGAGCCCTCGCTTACCCATCCATAAGAAAACTGGCCACAGCAGCACAGCACCGGCTTCCGGTTGTATCCGTCTCGAGGTTCCTATCTTACTGACACGTCTATATTGGTTTGGGATCTATAGGGTGTGGAAGGCTTGGGGAGGTTCGGCATGCCGGGGTTCTGGAGTTTAGGGTTTCTGGGTTTGTGCGTTTCTGGACGTTTCTGGTGGTTCCTGGTCTTTCGACGCTTTTGGGTTTTTTTTTTTTTTTAAGCCCCTTTTCGTAACTGCAGACAGCTCCGAAAGCCCAGTCGGGCAGGCAGCTTACCAGCTTCGGCAAGCACTGGAACCGTAGGCGAGTATCTTACGACTCTCCTCACAGCAAAAAGTCACACCCCTTTCACTCGTCACCCTCATCAGTCTCCAGCTGGCGTTTTATCCCTTTCCCTTCGTCCTCAACCTGGGGCTGGCTCTGGCTTTCCACCGGTATCACCCCTGTCGAACCCGATGCCCCTCCAGATCCCCTCGGATCCACCTGTCCTTCACTCTCGGCAGCAAGCTGATGTCGAAACACCCCCAACCAAACTTCTCCAAGTAGTTCCCTGACCTTGGCCGACGAGATCTCCATGAGTTTCCACTTTTTATACATCACCTCCAGGTTCTGATCCTCACGATTGGCCTCCTTGGTCCCCTCCTCCGCTGGGATCGTCGACACCTGGCTCGGGGATGCACCGTCCACCTCCACCACTTGCATCTCCATTTGCAGTACTCCTTGCCCTTGTCTCGGCAGGACCAAGCTGAAGCTTTTCTCCGTCGCCTGCCCTCCCGGAGCAACGTGACGGACCCGAAAGCTTAATTGCTGCTGTCTCGGGACATCCGGAGCCGTGTTCAAGACCAGCCACTCTTCCCATTCCTTGTACTTTGCCGCTTGGTACTTCTCGAAGCTTTCCGCATCCCTCTCGCTTTGCAGCCTATCCTCCTCCTCCTTGTCCTCGAGCTCCCGCCTTTCTGCACTCCGTTCTCGAAGAATCTCCCTTTCGTCCTCGCTGAGCTGGTCAATGGTAGGC